CTCTACCACTTGAGCCACAGCGCCACTTCCGGCTTTTTTTCTTTTTGCTTATGTGGTGCTGAGGAATCGAACCCAGGGCCTCAGGCATGCAAGGCAAGCGCTCTACCACTGAGCCACCTTCCCAGCCCCGACTGAGCATATTTTGAAAGCACCAAAAGTGCCATCTATATGATCTCAGTGACTCATTTTTGTATGTTCCTATGCCTGACCCACTCCTCTGCTGAGTCATGTATTCCTTAATATATTGTTGTGTTTAGAACCACATTGTAGTTCTATCCTTTGTAGATATAATAGTTATACATGCCATTCTAGTATGATAATCAATTATATATTTTAAGCTAATTTGCCAACCTCTAGTCTGCCACCTCACTAGCCAGGAAACCTGGAGCACCTAATCTGCCCCATCTGTGCCTCTGTGTCCTCCTCTGTGAAATAAGACTAGTTTAAGAGCTACCTCACAAGCCTCTTGGGGAGATTAAATGAGTAATTTAGTGCACAGGGCTTAGAAAAACGTATGGAACATAGAAAACACCAAGTACTGTTGGCTGTCATCAGTGGCAGCTGGAATAGAGGTTGGCATAGTGCCATCTTCTAGGTGTGGTGAGCCTAGGAGGACAGCATTATTTCCACGTTCCCAGTGGTAGAAAACAAAAGCTGTAATTGTCCTCCTGACTATACCATAGTCCCAGACCATGCAAGTCCCATGGATGGAGCTATTTCAACCCTGGAAGGGTAGATCCTCCTCTGAATCTTAGGTGAATCCCTGGTAGAGAACAGTTTCATAGCAATAACAGGGTTTAGTTTGTGCTCTTGAGTCCTAGTTATGTTTTGATTTTGTTCATAACTTTTTTTTAGGCTGGCCTTCTGTGGAAGGGTAGATCATCCAAACAGGGCAATGACCTTGCAGAAATCTGTGTAGTTCCTCAGCAATGTTTATTCCTCATGCATTTTTAGTGGGGTGATTTCCCAATTTTTATATTTAAATGTACATAGCATAGTTAAGGGTGTAACTGTTTAGAGCCTTGGCTTACTGAATAGATTTGCTCTTCATCCTACGCATATTTGTCACTTAAAGCATGCTTAGTGTTTGGTGTTTTCTTCATCTCCCAGAAACTGCCTTACAGGGTGACTATACCTCCTAGAATGCACGAGGGTTGTCTTATGTCCGGTGGTAATTAGCTAAATATAGAGTAGAGAACTGGGAGGGACTCATCTGTGCCTTCTGGCCTCCTTTCCCATCTGTGCTGACCAGTTTAGGAGCCACCAGCCACACATGGCTTCTGAGCACTGCAAACATGGCCAACCAAGCTGAGAAGCACTGTCAGTGATGAAATACATCCTAGGTCCCAAAGACAGATGCAAAACACAAAGAAGTGAAGTGGTGCCTTCATAGTCTTATGTTGGGTACATCTTGAATGATGAATGTTGATACAGATTATCAAAATAAATTTTATTCTTTTTACTCTAAGATGGCTACTAAAATGTTTCAAATTTCATATGTGGCTCATATATTACTACTGAACTGTGCTAATCCAAATCATCTAGCTCAAGTATGAAGGATCCTCTCCCCGCCCCCACCCCCAGTGGAGGTTCTGGAATCTTCCATAGTGGTTTCTCCAAATCTCTCATCATTCTGGCATCCCAATTCTCCATATCCTATCTTAGTCTCCCCTGCTTCATTTTGGTGACTTCTACTTCACACAATTGATTTCAACATCTCTTTAGGAAGCCCAGACTTGAGGAGAGCCAAACATCTCTTTATAGTGTTATAAGCTCAGTGGTTCCATTTTTAACTTTTTCCCAAGTCATTGATATTTTAAAAATTACTTTCTTTGGGTCATCTGTGGATTTGTTATTCTGTTTTCAAATATTTATATCCAAAATACCCTATATCACTCTAGATGGACTAGAAGGAAAAGAGGAATTGCTTCCACCAGCAAGTACTGTCTTAATTGGTCCTTGAGATATTTTACCTCATTTAATCTAAGAGCCTGAGCAGGGGCAGATGCTATTAGTACCACTCTTGACTGATAAGGCAAATGAGACTCAGTTAAGTAACTTACAAAAGATCTACCACAAAGTAAGTGGCAGTTCTGGGATTCATGCCTAATTTTGCTTTACTGCCAAGCGCATGTTCATTCACTAAACACCATGCTGTCCTTACTGATGTGTTAGGCAGCATTTGTTACTATAACAAGATACCTGAGATAGTCCATTTAAAAAGAGGAAAGGTTTATTTTGGATCCCAGTTTTGGAGGTACCAGTTCATGATTGATTGTTTTTTGGGGGGGGTCTGTGGTGAGGCACAACATTATGGAGAGAGCAAACAGTGAATGAGAAGCAAAATGATAGGGAGGAAGAGGAAGTTGTGCTAATTCCACTATTATTTGCAAGAATATGCCTTCACATAATCCGAGTTACTGAACTGAAATCCCTTTGTACACTACTTAAAATTAAAAAAGAGTACACTTCTAGTGACCAGAAAAGTTCTCACTAAGCCCTATCTCTTAAAGATTTCTGCTGTTTCCTAATAGCACCAACCTGAGAAGTATGCCCCTTTATCACATGTGCTTTTGGAGGACATTCCAGATCTGAACTTAGAGCACTGGTACTTTTCTTTGAAATTATTCCTTCTTGTGGTCTACGGAGGCCTCACTGTAGTATCACTGTAGATACTACTTGAAAGCCAGAAAGACTGCCTGGCCCTTTGGATAACCATCAGCCCCCAAAATAAGAGCCTTTCCAAAGAGCAGTCAAAGCAAAGTGCATGGTTAGTGTTGAGTGGAAGGGGACAGAGTATGTTAAGATCTTCAGAGCTGGGTGCCTGTGACTCATACTTATAATCCTATTAATATCTGAGGATCCATGGTTCAAAGTCAGGCAGGAAAGTCTGTGAGGTGCTTTATCTCACATGACCATCAAAAAGCTATGGCTAGCCTGAACAACAAAAAATGTTTTTAATTAATTAAAAATAAATAAAGATATTATGCTCACTGAAATAAGGTAGCTAAAAAGACAAATACTGTATGATTCCACTTGCCAGAAGCACCTAGAATAATCAGGTTCATGGTGGCAGAGAATGGCAGAGAATGGGGGCTTGCCAGGAACTGGGGAGAGTGGAGATGAGAGTTATTGTTTGGAGATGGATGCAGATCCTTGTGAATGCTTTTCATAACACTAAACTGTATACTTAAATAGTGGATATTGTGTGTATTTTACTTTTATAAAAGCACAATGAACTTTACTAAACATCTAAGCCTTAGCATGATGTGATCAGAGGTGCCCCTGGAGCCAACTTGTTCATTCTAGCTTTGGACCCACAGTTGTTTTTCTGAGTCATCTATTTACAAGAAATCTCTAGGCTTGCTACACTGAGGGGGGAACCCCATTTTCTTCCTGACATAGTTCTCCTTGTGAGAAATGTTTCAAATTTCACACCAATTCCTTCTCCAGGATTTAAAATTTTCTTTATTGCTTGTGTGTGTGTGTGTGTGTGAGAGAGAGAGAGACAGACAGACAGAGAGACAGACAGACAGATAGAGATAGAGAGGAGAGAGAGGAGAGAGCACTAGGGCTTGAACTTGGGGCCTCAATTTTTTCACTCAAGATTGGTGTTTTTTCACTTGAGCCACACCTTTACATCCAGCTTTTTGCCAGTTAATTGAAGATATGAGTCTCGTGGACTTTCCTGCCTGGGCTGGCTTTGAACCTCAATATTCAGATCTCAGCCTCCTGAGCTGCTAGGAGTACAGATATGAAATACTGGCTTCCAGCTGAGTCTAGAGTTTTCTAAGGGAAGCAAGGCTGTAGATTCTATTTGGTTAGACCAAAGTAGCCCTTTTAGAGTTGTGAATGGAAATTAGCTTGAGCCTCCAAACATCTAAGAGGTTTTGTTTTTTCTTAATCTATGTTTTCATTGAAGTTCCTGGGTACTGAAAACTTGATGTCAGTTAAACAATTGTCTGTTTTGAGAAAATGTAGCCAGGGTACTTAGACTGGAACTCAAATCCACAGACTGCTCTGAATCTAGAGTGTGGTGTTTAGTGTCCTGGTGAATGTATTTGCTCATTTGACCTGTGTGTTTTCCTTTTCAGGAATCATTAACCAATGGCAACAGGAATCCAAGGATAAAGTGATTTCCCTCCTGTTAACTCACCTGCCTTTGCTGAAGCCAGGAAACCTTGACGCAAAAGTAGAGTATATGAAACTGCTGCCCCAAATCCTGGCTCACTCAATTGAACACAACCAGCATATTGAGGAGAGCAGGCAGCTGCTGTCCTATGCTTTGATCCATCCAGCCACATCGCTGGAAGACCGCAGTGCTCTGGCCATGTGGCTGAATCACTTGGAGGACCGCACATCGACCACCTTTGGCAGCCAGAACCGTGGCCGTTCAGACTCTGTGGATTATGGACAGACGCACTACTATCACCAAAGACAAAACACCGATGACAAGCTCAACGGGTGGCAGAACTCTCGGGATTCTGGGATTTGCATCAATGCCTCCAACTGGCAGGACAAAAGCCTGGGGTGTGAGAATGGTCATGTGCCCCTCTACTCCTCCTCATCCGTCCCCACCACAATCAATACAATTGGAACCAGCACAAGTACAAGTAAGTCCCCTGCAAACCCTCTAACGTGATCTGGTTTGGTGACTTGCTGTGTGTGTGGCATGTCTTGCTGACAATGTCTGCTCTGAGCACCTTGGAACCCTGGGAGAGAAGGGCTGATGGGAATTGGCTGTGGGAAAAGGCTTATTGGTTGGTCTCTGAAAAGATGAAAATATTGGACAGGTAAAAGCAATGGAAGGTCCAAATTTGGATTCCAGACAGACCAAGAACAAATAAAGAGAGAGGGAGAGAAGAAATGGTGAAAGAAGGAAACATCCTGTTTCTGCAAACACAAATGCCTTTCAAACCCACATGTCTTTCGTCCTGGGGTTTGGGGATTTGCCAAGACACTGAGTTACTGTGTGATTCTCTAAACCTGATTCTAACCCATGGTTAACCTGCCAGTCTCATGGGCTTTTTTGCATTTTTTCTTTCTAAATTTTTTCTTTCCTTATTATTATTTTTTACATTTCACCCTAGAATGCCCCCCTCCCCTTGCATTTCCTGGTTGAACCTCCAGTTGTTGCTCCTGACCAGGAAAAGTAGGCTTGCTGATGGTGAATGCTGATCTATGTGGAGACCTCGTATGGAAGCAGTGGGCTTCCTCTTGCTCAGTTTAACCTCTTAGGAGAGGTGGGCCAGGAACTGCTTTGAGGGAGGGCAGTAGAAGACATTTTCTCCTCCATTCTTTGATCACCAAAGCCAAGTGCCATGCTCCATAGCAGGCAACTGGGGCCAGGAGTCCTCTGGGATCCTCTCTGGATCCCAGCTTAGACCAGCAGTGACCAACCTATCACTCATGCCTGTATAAAAGCAGCCCACCATCCATCAGCACTTCTTGTACATGTACAGCCCTGCTTCACATGAATCTGTGAGGTGATTGTCTCAGGGGAAAGGTTTTGCAGTTAGATCTGATGGACTTGTCAACCTGAAGGCACCTCTACTTAGCAGGCAGGAGGAGAGGTCAGGGATGTTGCTCATTGGTAGTGTGTTTGTCTAGCATGCATCAGATCCTGGGTTTCATTCCCTGTACCGCAAACAAACAGATACATATGAGACAAGACAACTAAAAATGAGCAGGGATGCCTTCTTGGATTTTACCTCCATTTGAGTCTTTTGGCTACTGGACCTCTTTAAATGGGTTTTTCAAGAATGTAAGAACATTGGATTATTAACTACACTAATTGAGTTAGTACCTTAGTGAATAACCAAGGAAATCCTAAAGATAACTACACTAATATTGTTATGAGAATTTTTAAATTTTTTCTGTTTTTTTATATAGACACAAATAATTAGACTATCTGAAGATTTAGGTGATTGTTGCACTAGTGCCTTATTATGTAAGAGGCTATGATAGCAGACAGTGTCCGATGGCAGACTTGTGATCATTTTCTCTAGCCTTTGCTTGCTTGATAGCACAGGGAGTGATGGCTGGGGTTAGTAGAACCACCTTAGTCTCTTGGCTCAAATTTCTTAGGTTAGCCTTGTCCCTCTTACAGAACTCTTTAATAACTGGGAGAGATGCAAACTCTAAGCAGCCTGCCTTCTCAAAACTTGGTCTTTCATATGTTTACATTTTATGTTATTTATCCTGAAATTGGTCTTGGGTCATTATATATTTTCATCTGTTGGTTGGCACACTCTGGGTTGGGTTGTCACAAGGTTAATACATTAAAGATGGCCATCAGGTTGTAGTCAACAGATACATATTTGTTATCATGGCTACCCAGTCCGGTGCAGAGGAGGAGGTTCAGGGATAGCTACCTTGACTTTCTCAATCTTGGAACCCTTGAGTTAATACTTGAGTTGAAAAGGACTTAGAAGTTTAACCAGATGATTACATTACATATCCCTGGGAAAACAAAAGAGTTGGACCTCTTTTTAAAGAGCATCCAGCTCTGTCACCCCAGTATTTAGGAGGATGAAGTAGGAAAGTCATGAGTTCAAGGCCCACCTGGCCTATAGAACAAGTTGGAGGCCAGCCTGAGCTATATTGTTAGACCCTTCTTTTTAAGACAAAAGCAAAAAAAATCATCATAAAGGTGAAACAACTTAGATCTCCCCTTCACGAGGTTTCAGTAATGTCTCTACCACAGTGTTACTTACAGTCACGTTCTACTGCTCTTCATGATCTATGGAGGTTGTGTTCATCGGAATTGCAAACCTTTGGGCTTTTTTCTTGACTTGTGCCTGTCTCACATATACATAGAACAACTGCAGACAGCCTGATGAAAGAACAGAGGTATTAGTGTCAGTACCCTCCAAAATCTCAACCCCAAACCTACAATTTGCTGACTACAACTTGATCAAGTTATCTAACTTCTCTGAACAAAACCTTCCCTTGTAAAATGGCAACATCGTGATTTCCCTCTTTGAGGACTGTGATAAGATAAACAGATAATGTAAATGTCCAGCTCTAGCCAGAGCAGCAAAATAAGCACATATTAGGTGTTTGCCAGATGAATAAATAAACTGGAAAAGATGGTGAGAAAAGTGATATTCAGAGTGCATTGACTTGTTCCGTTCTAATGGTTACCTGGTTAACAGCACCTTTCCCTGAGCTGAGGCCCATGGAGAAGACAAGTGTTCTTTGACTTCCCGTGGAATGATGTCCCTATAAACTGTCCTAAGCAGAAAATCGGGTAACTCAAAACAGCATTCAATATACCTAGCCTATGTAACATCATAGCTTAGTGTAGCCTATCTTTACGCATACTCTGAAAATGTATATTAGTCTATGGTTGGAAAAAAATCATCTAACACAAAGCCCGTTTTATAATAGTGTATTGAGAATCTTATTTAATTGATTGAATACTTAAAGTAAGAAAATAAAAAAAAATTGTTAAGTCCAGTCATCCTAAATCCGTGGTCTGTGGGACTTTGCATATGGAGTGAATTTTGGCCATGTAACTGTGATAGAAAATGTGTGACTTCTTCTACTGCACTGAAGAGCTACGTTTCTTACTTCTGTCAAGGTGGAAAAGAAGAGCTATGCAAAACATAATTTTAAGAACTGAAATCAATTAGTCTACACATTTTCAAATTAGCAACCACATTAATGAAAGCCACCCTCTTACTGTTTTTCCCTCTATGTAATTTATTTATTACTTTTTAATTATTGTTATTATTGAGTAGTTGCATAAAGGGGTTATAATTCCATAAGTCAGATTGTGAGTACAATGTTTTTTGGCCAATTGTCACCCCTTCCTTGGTTCTCATTTTTTCCCCTCATTTTTTTCCCTTCTGCCCTTACCCACAAGTTACATAATTCATTTCCTCTTACTGTTTTATTTTCATTTTCAACCTTGGTTTATTCCAGTTTATTTTTCCTGAACTTCAACTAAGTCCCTTACTTGCTTCCTCCCTGTTTAGATTCCAAATTAACCAACTTCCACCCCAACACTGCTGTCTACCTACTGTGTAACTAACATGGTTGGAATTAATGGGAAACATAAATACATAAACATAATACAGGGTGCCTGTATTATAGTTGAAGATACAAGACTTGTCAGTTAAGTCTCACGTTTAAAGATTAAATATTGCTTTTGTCTTGACTTATTGTCCACAGAGAATTCACATAAGAATCCAAGAGATATATAAAAGAATGGTACAAAATTATATAAGTACTGCCATAAGGACCTATCAGTTTTAATGTCAGTTAAAGGAAGTCTATCTTACTCTTCCTTGCTGCTTAACAAAATACTATTGACTATGTAATTTATAAAAAACAAAAACTTATTTGACTTGTGATCATGGAAGTTGGGAAGTTTTAAGAGTAAGAGACCACATCTAATGAGTGCCAAATACATGGTACATGGCTACATGGTAATGTGGTAAGAAAAAAAAAATTAGAGAATGCAGAGAGGGCTAACCTCATTTTAAAACAAACCTATTCAAACAATATTTAAGCAATATTTATTTGCCACTCAATTGTATGATCTCTCAACACTTATATTAGGGAAGAAGATTTCAATACTTGAACTTGGAAGAACATATACAAACTATAACAGAATCTATATTATAAGTGCTGTCAAATTTTTGGAGTGTAGGAATCCTTGTGAATTGGAGAATGAAGAAAGACTTTGGAGGGGAAATGGACATGGGCTAAGGTGGAAAGGGGGAGGAGAATTTGGTGGGAGAGGACACTTGGTAGGAATATGCATAGAGAGCAAAAAGATGGGTGTGATAATGTAAAGAGTTGGTTAGGAGATAGTGAGGAGAAAAGAGGTTTATGAAGGAGAAACAGGAGCCAAGAAGACAGTGAAAGTCGACTGAAGAAAGGGGTTTGAAAGCCCCTAAAGAAATTGAGCATGGGGGTGTCATGAGCAATGCTGTATGAGGATTGTCAGCTATGGGCCAACCAAGTAGATAGATAGTGAATGATTTGTGTGAAGTCAATAGGTTTCAAAAGTGCAGTTGAAAACACAAGTATCATAGGAATAGATGCAGAGCAGAAGGGATGAATAGGAGAAATAAACCTAAGTAGAATTGCTCTAGGCTCAGGATTTAGTAATAGATTAGATATATATTATTGATTCATAGATTTGTTTACTCACGTAAAAATATTTGTTGAGCTTTTTTCTTTTGGCATTTCTGGGGGTCAAACCTGACTCCTTGTGCATGCAAGGCAAGCAGTCTACCACTAGAGAACATCCCTAGCCTTACTGAGCACCTTATATAGGCTTCTCCTTCTAGGGGCACTTGGAACACATCAGTGGAAAAGACCAAAGTCACAGTCCTTATGGAGCTGGCAGTGTAGTACATATTAGTTACATAAAACATTAGGTTTATATATATATATATATATATAAATTATATGGTTATAAATTTTATATGTGTGTATATATATCATTTGAGATTGATTAGTGACATTGAAACAAGACAGAGTCTAGTAAGAAGGATCAAGTGTAGATAATGTGGTGGTTACTGTATGAAGGGAGGTGGTCAGGGTAGACCTCATTGAGAATCTGATGTATCAGCAAAGACATGTTAGTGGTATACGA